TTTAGGTCAAGCAGTGCCATCTTTCTTATAAATTGTCTGCCATATTGATAATCATGATACTATTATTCCTTATTTATATTGCAGATGAACCAATTTTAGAAGCTATACATGTTTGATGACAAGGTGTTGAATTTGTAGTGAAAATATGGTCTGTAATATTTCTGGTATGATAATTTCTTCTTTTAAAATCAATTTGGAATGACAAAAAAACTTTTACTATTTATTGTTACAACTATGGAGTAAATTATCAAATGAAATGCAGGGAAAGATACAAATAAACATGTACAATGTACGTAAACAATACTTTAACACAAATTTCAAAATTGTGTCAAGGAAAATTGAAAGTATGGAAAGTGAACGAATAAAGCTCGCAATTAATTTTTCCCTAGAGCTAAACATTATTCAAACATTATGCAAACAAACCAAAATAACGAATGAAAAACACTTATAATCTTACACGTTTATGTTAATACACAATTTTCTTTGTGTTGCTTTTTTTTTAATTTGTGATGGTAGATTGCTTAGTAACGGGTTGTTGGTTACATTCCCCTGCCATTTAATTTTTCAAATGTTATAGTATATTAATATATACCATGTCTCCTCACATCAAATGAGAGTAAAGGTAACATGATACAATGAAATGCATATCTGTTAATCTTATTAAATATGTAGGACTCGGAGGTGCGATGGGGAATCTGAAGTGCGATTGTCATGCTGAAGTACTATGGTCTGCGCCGAGGTACGATGATCCTATTCACTGAAGTGCGATGGTTTTGCATGAATTTTGAATATTGTTACGTTTTCAAATACTACGTTACTTAAAATACAACAGGAATTGGAGGAAAATATTTTGTAAATTAAGGTTTTGCTAACAAAGGAAAGGAAAGGAAAGGAAGAAGATTGTAACGAAAGATACAAGTCCCGAACAGTTTTGAGCAGTGTAACAATACAAAAATTTGTAAAACAAAGTCAAATTGTGGGGAGCAAAGCGACTGAAAGATGAATTTGGTCTGCATATTGGCTACTCAGTGTTCGGATATTACTATTAATTTTGACTTTTCTTCAGGTATTCTTCACGTGATTTTATGTAGACAATCAAATAATTAAATTAATTATTAGCAATGTTTTTGTTATATCAATTTGATATAATGCTGTTTTATTCCTGAAATAAATCCTGCTTTGTAAAAACCGGCACACTAACATAGTTGTATTGTGGTTACAGTGTTAATCTTCTACCGTAAAGTAGGCCATAATAAACCCGACATGGTCCCTACGTGTACTTCCAATTTTTTTTCTGCTCATCGTAGAAGCACCAAATTAAAAAAAAAATGGTGGAACACTTTACACATCTTGACATAAGTACAGCATAAATGTACTTGGCAGTTTTTTTTTTTTTTTTTTTCTCTTGAAAACTATTACGAAATCAGACAAATGAATGAATGATTCTTGTGGGTAATTTCTCAGCTATGACATGACGAGAACAAGTTACATTTGATAAATGAGATTGACCCTGCTTAATACTATAGACCAACACGCTTTAATTTGTTTTCGTCCTTGAACACTCCATATAAAGATATGTCCTCCCACTCGAATCCATTAGACTTAATCGGAGCCATGCACTCTAGTTTCTGGCTCCATACGGCTGCATGCTAGGCGTAGACTTAGAAATTTTAAGTTTTAAAGTCTTTGTTATCACCTGGTCAGAAATCAAAATCTACCTTCCAAATGCGAGGCTAGTACGCTAACCACCACATTAAATTTCAAACCTTTGCATTTTATCTAATATACACCATCGCACTTCATCGTAACAATCCATGCAACGTCACAGTTAGGCCATTCCACTTCTGTATTACCACCAACGCACTTCAGCGTAGTCATCAACAAGTTAGCGTCACAATGTCACCATCGCACTTCAGCGTGTTAACCATCGCACTTCAGCGCGGACCATCGCATTTCAGCGTACCATTGCGGTTCAAAGTTCTACATATATGTACCATGTCTCCTCACATCAAAGAGAGTAAAGGTTGAAAAATATTTGATTATATAATAACTACGTACGAAACAATGTTAGGTAATATGATACAAGTAAATGAATATCCGTTAATTTTATTAAATATTTGTTCACTGAAATGACATTACTCGATTTAAGCAAGCTATTTGGACGTATCTCGGCCTATTGCATTGAGCGATGACGGCTCGTTGAATGCACAGTTTTGTTAGAATATATATTACTTAAAGATTGACCTAATCTGCTATTTTGAATCTGTACATATCATATGTTGTTTTTAAATTTTGGATGATGTTATTAACAATACCCTTTAGAGGGAGTAATTTATCAGGTTACAGTTAATCAATTGCACCAATCATAACTTTTTCACTTTTTCTAAAATCATATAGTAATTTCTCAAAAGGTGAATTCTTAAAACGGCTGAATCAAAATTAAATTTTAAAAACATAAAAACAATGAAAGCTGATGTGGAATGCAAATCTCATATTTGATAAACAAGTTGACAGGAGTTTCAATCACGACGGAATTAAAAAAATTGTACACTTCTCACTTCATTTGTTAAGCATATTTCTATATATATTTCAAGATATTCTCGTCAGGAGCAGAAATTCAGATTAGTGAGGCATGTATCTGATAGGACTTTGTAATATTTCTGTTATCAAATAGAATTTATAGGGGATTGATCTTCTAGAAAATAAATGTCAAATTAGTTATTTGTTTTTACTTTTGAAATGTTTGGCAGTTAGACTTTATATACTACACTTTCACACAAACTTCTCAAACAGAAATATTTGTTTTGGTAAATATCAATGAAAATTAGTGCACTATAATTCATATATACCCTTATTATGTAATGAACAATATAAATATGCTAGATGTTCTTATTAAAAGTGTGCACTTAGAAAGAAGTGAAAAAGTAAGGTTCCAACATCCTCCAGGACAGTTTACGTATAATTTGAATTATGTACTGAGTTTCATGTTGTTCATTTAGCACCTTAAGTTTACAGGTATGTATACACCTCTGGCTCTCAACATTTTGGTTCGATATTTCCTGATTAAGATTAATTCAGACAAGATTTCGAGCGCACTAAATTTACAAAGTTTTTTTACGCGTTACCGTAATGCTATTTTGCTTCAAATAGTCAATATTTTTTTTATTTATTAGGCTTCAAATCAAATTCAATCTTTTAATGTAAAATACACCTTATTGAAACATCAATGCTTTTCCATTTTTTCTAGACTTGGATATTCCAGTTAAACATTGGAAATCCTATACTTCCTTTTGTGTTATTGTTTCCTTGTGTATACGGCTATGTTCCTTTGGCCCTATGTGGTTGTACATTCTCGAAATCTTTCGCTCTGTCATTCTCATGCTTATAATTATGTACGCTAAACATGTGCTTCGTCTACTCAAGAATCGAAAATTCGAAACAATTGTGCAAATTCTAGATAGGCTTTCGATACACGTGGGTGAAAATCTTCGTGTTATGAATAAATCACCATTTTGCATTAGATGACACCACAAATATACTGACTACTATAAAAGCGAAACTATCGAGAATGAAATATCCACCTGCAGCGGCACCGACCTCTTGATTGTTAATACTCATAAACCATACCAATTTAATAATTTGGTAAGCCAAAATCATGTTTTATCTACTTAACACTCATTAGTTGCTTCCGAATTAAAACAGTTGAAAGGTAAAAGAATAACCATACTTAAAGAAAATTGACAAACGACAATATGCCTATTGGACAGAACCTTAATGTTTCGAATTTAATCAACAGCAAATTAACAATCAAATGAATGTATCATCAAATGTGTTAAAAATACTTCTGCTGGGCTGTTGATACACTCGAGGACGAAACTTCCACCAGCAATGATATTCGATCTGAGTTAAACTTGATAATCTATCATAATGTTAACGTTGTTGTTGTTCTTAGAGCTTCTTAATTGAGAAATGATCCTTCTTATGAATAAACTCGTTCATTAATGCTTATAATGTTTATTGTGGAAGCAAGGTAGTACAGATTTTAAATTTTGTCTATATCGGAATTAACGTTTTTCTTTGTTTTTGTTTTTGTTTTTTTTTTTTGCTGTTATAAATATGTATATTATACATTATCTCTATGTATGATCCTATATCTTGTCGATACCATAGCTATATTTTGCATTGCAAATAATCATGCTTTTCTCATACGCCTTGATTTATATCGAATTTGTAGGAGGTGGCTTGAATGATGTTTTATGCTGTAAAATAAATGGTTTATTTATTAGATGAAATTTGAATCTGAACAAATCTTATTCTGTTTTTGATGTACTGACAGTTGTCGCATTGTTAATCATATTGTATATAAACCTCCATATAAAAACAATGAAAAGTGTCAAACTGCTAATTTGATACAACAGAATAAAGCTCATAGATACTATCCTCATTAACATGGTTATAGAAATGATAAGACATCGGAAACTGAAATTAGAACTTTGCTCTTATATTCACGGTGGAAGAAATATTCTCACCATAAGGAACACGTCACTGTAAGCATTTTAAGTTGAATCGATTTGCCACCAACAATCAGATGATAAACAAATAAAGATGAATACCACAGAATAAACATGGAAATGAAAAACAATGACAAGTATTGATATATCATCATATAAGTCCTGCTATCTTATATTTGAAAGGTCTTTTAAACTTTTCAGTAGTAAGCGATAAATCCTCAAATAAATTGAATAGATTTTTATGCCACATAATATTTGAAAATATTTTAATCAACCGCATAAAACTTTTCAATAGCAAGTGATAAATTCATGAATAAATTAAAGCTTGTTTAATCATGGTACTCTAATAGCAGCTGATCAGACCAACTTGTATCCGAATTTACAACATTGCCAATGAATGAAAGTTTACTTGCAGATAGCGTTCTATTTACCATCGTGCATAGGCTTCCAGAATAAATGTCCCAGTTCCTCAGAGAGAAATTTTAGAGCAACATCATTGTGTAATACATCTTCAGCATTGAACTATTCGTGTCTCTTTGACGAAAATAGAGGATTCAATGTGGAATCATGCATAACAAAGACAGATTTTGCCCCGCCAGGTATGGTGTATGCGTATGTCTGTATATTGTACCCCCATTGGATACCTTTCAGCAGCAACAAGCAAGACAAATTACAGAAAAAAAGCGTTACAGTGCCATGTTATTTCTTTCTATTTCAAGAAATTGTAATTTCACATATGCCTATCCGAAATGCTTTCCAAGCTCCGAAACTTGAACGCTAATAAATACTCAAATATGACAAGATATTAGACAAAAAAGGATAACCAAATCAATGGCGGATCTTTTTTTTTATTGAAACCTCAGTCACACATACAGGATTTTTGCTTCCGTCCCTTGTAGGACTATGCCCAACTAAAATATGTCAAAAGTCTGATCAGGATCCTGTCATTCGTGGCTTGAAATTATAAAAAAATTGTAAAACTTTTATTCAGTCACGATAAGCATCAGATGTTGCAGTATCCCTATTCCCCTGAATGCATTTTCGACAGAGATCAGACATTGACCATACGAAAGACTTTAGGCAAGATCTGTACGCAATCTCGACTCATTCGAAAATAAACAGCAATGACCAATTTCTCAAAAGAATGCTCATTTCACAGGACAACGTCAAAACACCGTCAAGACAACACAGAATTTTTTTTGTATCTGATACAGCAGAATTTATCATCATATATCCACGATTGTAATCCGATTTGACAAGATCGGCTGAGATTCCCGAATGTTACGTGATCTACCTAACTGTCAAAAGTGGTTTACCGAACTTGCTAGACCATTCCCGATCCGTATGACTATGTTACAAACATTCACGACTGTGTTAAGACTAAATTAGAACCTTCCAGATAATTTAGGATACTGTGGATTCATTTATTTCGTGGGTATCAATTTTCGTGGATGGAATAAAACTTGCATCTTCGTGTATATTTGATTTCGTGGTTTTGCGAATCTCTGTATACACAGTCTAGAGAAAATGTGTAATTCGTTGAACTTTTGAATTCGTGGTTCACCTGTACCAACGAAATCCACGAAATGTGTATCCAACGAATAATAATGAGTCCACAGTAGTAATCCGATTTTTTTTTCATTTGTGACGTAGGTATGAAAGCTGCATTAATCTATTTCCATGTCTATTAACGGGGAAATTTAAAAAAAAAACAAAAAAAACAAAAGCCAGTGTAAACGCACTGACAACTGAGCAGCTGCCGCCTATTGAGGTGATGACATCATACTGAATAAGAAGTCAACACACATCTGTTTCGACAGGCAGCTAGAACTTAAAATTAAATTTAGTGCTCCCATACTGCTTTTCTGTTTAAACTTTTACTTTAAGTCTTTTAATATACAATGTATTTCTTGGTAATCGTATAAAAATCTCCTTAAAGTATACATATTTCAGGTTACAAATATGTGTTGAGAGGTCAGCCAGATTTTACGCAATGTGAAATTGAGCGATACCAGCCAATCCGTTTGTGGTCCAATGTCAGCAACCAGTGTATCTTTCAGAAATCTAAATGTATTCAAAATGGTCAGTTTCTGTTTAAAAATGGTACAACTGAAACGGACAGGTCCTGCAGATGTGATTATACAAGAGGGTATGCTTTCATCACAAAACCGAAAAATCAATGCTTTTGTATTCCTTCAGAGGAAGATTGCAATTGCTACAAAAAGTACTGTCCACATAAAGGACTTCTGACACCAGGTAAGATATTTATGTTTAATTATATGATACGATATAACATGGAATAATGGGGGAAACAATCATTTGTGCACCTGCCTATGTACATGTAAGTCCTTTCCATTTTTTTGGCAAAAAAAACAACTTCGGTGAAAAACACTGTATTTTAACAAACTAGAATTCAACTTATCAATTTTAATAGGTATAACGTTTTATATATGATTTGACAGTCATCAGCAATAATATGGAAACATGTTTTAGCACAGTTTTAACAAAGGATGCATGAATGGAAGAAGTGTATAAACTTAAAACATAACTTTATAATTCCGAATTTGTTTCATTTGGCTAGCATCCCAGATGAAAAGATATTTCTTAATGATGAAATTAAAAAATCAGTCATATTATATATAACAGCACAAAGGTATTGTAAACAACTCAGGTCTCAAAAGAATACGCTCGTTTGCAAATATTTTAAATCTGACAATAAAAATTATAAAACTGGTTTTTACATTCGACTCATTTGATGAATTCGATGTAGAAGCACCTTAAATATTTTTATACCGAAACATAAACATTAATAAATTGCAAGAAGAAGTAATCAAAATTCAAATATACTTAAGACTTTGAATGCATTTTGATTAACAAAAGAATATTATATTATGTTTTCAGATTATAATTGTGCAACAGAAAAAGATAAACCAGGACAAAACACTTATTTTTGTCCAATTATTGTATATAACAGGTATAATTTTATACTGCATTTTGTCTTGTTATAGGTGTAATACCACCATTGATTTTCCCCTATTAGTCTTTGTTAAATTTGCACTTTTCAAAAAATTGTGCAGAATTTATCTTTGTTTTTAAATAAAGAAATACTTGGCATGAGTAAAGTTTAATCCTGTCCAGTACTATAGACAAATTTTCACAAAACATTTCATTGCATATAAGAAAATAACCATCACTGGAAGTTAACCAATCAAATTTTCACCTCTTTTTTTCTTGTGTACAAGCTTTAGTCAATGTTAGTAACCATGTGACCTCAAGTTTCCAAAATACTCTATAGAAACACCAAATAAAAAGATAATGGTGCTTTGAAACACCCAAGACATATGTTTATGACTCAGAAATTTTTTACTGCAATGAAATGTGGGATTAATTTCCTACAACTGTCAAATTCAAGGAAATATTTTTTTTCGACCCTTTTTCGTATGCAACCGGATGTGACGTACTATGATTTGGTGGCATTACACCTATAGTCTTGTACACAACATAATGTGAAAACGAAAATCTTTTTACTTGACATGTAATACTACATTCGCTTTTCACTGGCGATATTGTAGCACACATCCAGCCGTTTAATAATAACGTGGTATGTTTATGTCAAAATTTAAATGCACATTAAGAGTGTAATCATATTCATTTAAAAAAAACGGTTTGTTTTATTAGATACACTCTAGGGAAGCGCAATTGTACGTTTAAAAAAAAAGTAAAATCACAAAAATACTGAACTCCGAGGAAAATTCAATCGGAAAGTCCCTAATCACATGGCAAAATCAAATGACAAAACACATCAAACGAATGGACAACAACTGTCATATTCCTGACTTGGTACAGGCATTTTCAAATGTAGAAAATGGTGGATTGAACCTGGTTTTATAGCGCTAAACCTCTCACTTGTACGACAGTCTTATCAAATTCCGTTATATTTACAACGATGCGTGAACAAAACAGACATTATAAATAAAATAGTCAAAATATGGATATGCTTTTTTTGTTATCATAAGATATGCTCAAGATAATCACATGATCTGACTTGCGAAAAAAAAAAGCAGACACAATTGTGTTGTAACTTTCTTTCATTTTAAGTTTTGGTTAATATTTGCGACGACGGATGTTTTTAGTTTTCAAATGGCTGGTTCTGTATCAAAATTAGTTATATTAGAAAAAGAGAAGCGAAAGATACCAAAGAGACATTCAAATTCACAACTCGAAAATAAACTGACAACGCTATGCATAAAACAGAAAACTTAAGAAAGAGAAACACAAAACCCACAAAAACTGGGAGTGATTTCAGGTGCTCCGGAAGGATGAGCAGATCCTGTTTCTACATGTGACACACTTCGTGTTGCTAATGCAAATACACATCCGTTGATAAGTCTGATTCGTTAGATCAAATTCGGAGAAAAGGAGACGGGATTGTAGTACGACAATTGGAACATATCCGTCGTCAGCTGTGAAGCAGATATTCCATAACAGTCAATTAACTTGTGATGGCGTCCGTAAAATAACGAAGGGATGATTTCTATTTCATCACTTGGAACTCTTGCTTTAATAGCTTCCTTTTGAGCAGCAACCCTCTATCAAGGAAATCATGATAGAATATACAAGCCCTGGAACATCGTATAAACTCGGATATATAAACCGTATGCAGGCGCTGCTAAAATGTTGCTTCATAGAATTGAAAAATTCACAATTGGAAACTGAATTCATTTTTTTTTCGTAATATTTTGTAGAAAAAATGTTATTAAAAAGTTTTTACCTGTCTTATATACAAAACAATCTATCCCAGCATGTTCAAACAATGTGGGTGAAAAATAAAATTTTACTTTATAGTATGTAATAGAGGAAACTGATGTTTAAGAATAATGCTATCTTCATTTCATTCTTTTTGGAAAACTCATATATGATTAAGGCGAAGAAAGAAACAAGTCAACAAAAAAGAGCACGTATGCGTTCCATTTACAAGTCGATTGTTTGTAGCAAGTCTCGGTATACGAACGCAACAATTTTGCTGCCGATGACGAATTTCAGATAACTTTTGTTCTGAAATGATATATTATGATTACACAATAAACCATGCATATTTCCATTGAGGTTACCGACTGACAGTTTTACCATCAAGGAAAAGAACAACTTTTGGAAAGAGCTAGGGACTGGTAATTTGAATAATTATCAGTTACCAACGACTGTTACACATATGAAAGGATTCATTATTGCAAAGCCATAGATCTAACACAATCAAAACAAATATAGAAGGCAACATAAAGTAGTCAACGAGACACCGGTGTCCATACAATAGGTCAAGCTATTTATCATTTCGGGTATATCAAACCTGTGAATAACTTAGCAGTTCATGTAATAATATAAACTCTGCAATTTTCCAAATAAGAAAAAGTATCCGAAGATGACATACACCAACTACTGACGATATTATATACTTCGGACAAACATATGCGCAAGGATTAAACTAGATTTCAAATCATCCCAATCCTTCCATTTTTTAATCTCGATCACTAAATTAACAAATTTTACGCGAAAGACCATTCTATAAAAACCATAAGAGAAAAATCTTTCAATTGATAAATAAAGCTATGATATATAACAAAAACACTGAAGAAACAACAAGTTATACCGAATAGATTTTTTTTGGAAGTTGATTCAAGGCATTGCTAATAAGAAATCACGCCATCCTAATCTGTCGATCATCGTCTATGTCTTTTTTGTGTGTATTTTTGGTTTGTTTTCTAAAGTATCTGGATAGCAATCCTCGCCGACATTCTGTGGTATAAGATTGTTGCCATGTACCGTTTTTGTTTTTTTTTTTTTCTTTTTCATTTATTCAGTTGTAAAAAGAAACTGTGCCTTTTCTTTTCCTTTTATTCAGAATTTTCGTCAAAAATGATTGTTTTTGTGGTGACTGCAATATGTACATTCCTAATAGCAGTTCAGGGTAGGTAAATAGAAATTATTATGTTACATATTTCAATGAGAAGTCAACCTTGTATTCATGGGTATATATTACGTACAGGAGGTTATTTTCAAAATTTTATATCATACATATCAAACGATCGTACAATTTGTAGATTTAACAATGTTTCATATTCCCTGTGTGATATTTTGATTCACATGACGGTTGATGGTAGCATAGCAGTGTCGACGCGTATAGTGTCGACGCATCATGTCTCGCACCTCTTGTTGATTTCTTGCAATTTCTTCTTTTTTTTTTAATCCTGATTTTATATATAAGAAGATGTGGTATGAGTGCCAATGAGACAACTCTCCATCCAAGTCAAAATTTATAAAAGTTAACCATTATAGGTCAAAGTACGGTCTTCAACTCGGAGCCTTGTGTCACACCGAACAGCAAGCTACAAAGGGCCCCCAAAATTATTAGTGTAAAACCATTCAAACGGGAAAACCAAATTTGCATATTTGAAACAATACGAGATGTGAATATAGGTAATGAAAACATATTAGGTGAAACATACCAATGTTCCTTCAAAACTCATAATTCGAGATAGGCTGACAGCGATATTGCAAAAGATATGACGACGCTACGACAAACAAATCCACAAAACACTTTATAGAGAACTACAGATTGAGCAACAGGAACCCCACCAGCAATTGGGGATATTTCATGCGCGTAAGAAGGAGAAGGTATCCTGCTCCGTTAGTGGCACTTGACGTGTTACTCATCGTGAGTAATTCATTTCATCCGGTGATATCGCAATTGAGGACTCAATTGGGTTTACGACAAGTGAAACATAATTGATGTAATCTTTGAAACATAAATTCCTAAATGGTCTATAAACTGATGATATGCAACTCTTCAAGGGATTTCTTCATGTTTAACACTAGAAATATATGGTGTAAAAGCTCCCTTGTTATCAGCAACCCTCTATCAAAAAATATTGAGGGGAAAAGAATCTCTTCAAGGATAATGTACCAGGTGTATAATTGTGTACACCTGAGTGATCAACAGAGAGATAAATACTTCACATGCAGGCACTGTATAGAAACTACGGTTGACCTGAGTTTTAACATGCATGTCATAGTAATTGATATGTCAATATAAAACGATTGTTGAACCGGTATTCAGGCTTTCGAAAATGTCTTATTTGGACGAAATCACTAGTCGAAAGTGCATAAACATCTAAGTGTGTTATAACTATGACGTCAAACTACAAGGCAAAATTAGAAGCCGGCATGTTTATAGGAGTAACACGACGGGTGTTACATGTAGAGCAGAATCTGCTAACTTTTTTTAAGGCACCTAATACCACGCCCGGTTATATCTGAGTTCGTGTAGCTCGGCCGTTAGTTTTCTATTGTTTCGTTTGTAGACTGTTGTTTTTCTTTGATGTTGTATTTTGCTTTTGTGCCATGACATTGTCATTTTGTTAACGTCTTGTGAATCTGAATATTTTTGGTATCTTCGCCTCTCTCTTTTGTGCTTTTCAATAAACGTCTTTATTTTTTTAAACTTGCAATGTTTTATATCATTGGCTTCTCAAACTTATGGTCTAGTTTATCATTTAAAAAACTTGTTTAATGACCAAGGACAATACATAACTATGTGTATGCTTTTCTCGGTTTACTTGCATCAGTAGCACCAGGAGTATGTTAATCCAAATGCCCGGACAGATAAAGATGGATACATGTAAATTTATTTCTGAAACAAAACCAAAACGAGACAATAATTTAAACTATAAGATGAATCAGGATTATTGAATATTTTTCCTGAGGTTTTCCTTTCAATATAAAATTACATATTCGTACATTTCTTTCAAATAGAATTCTGTATGATTTTCAAAAACACATTTCTGTACGAACGTTTCAGTAAAACATAGGAATAAAATTATGTTGTGTGTATTTTCCATTAGACAGCAACCCGACCGATAACCAAAGTCACTGAAAAAGAGACATGAAACATTTTTTTTTTTAATTTTCATATTCATACATTATTCCAAAACGATAAAAACTTGTTGTTATCAATTAATGATTGTTTTCAAGATAGATACATTATCCTTTTTCAGGAACTCTAGTATTAGTTTGCGTTAAAGGACAAGGTAAGTTAAAAGTTAAACAGCATTACTGTCTTCCTTGTCAACCTTAACTTATATTTGAAACAATTTTTTTTACTTTCTGATTTATAGACATTTCAGATTACTTAGTGTTTGTCGTAATGATACACGACTTAAAAAATAGAGACAACAATTTGATTGGCTGATATAAGATTTACAAGAACAGAAAACTGAAACCAAGTCTTTGTGAGCATAGCGTTGACACATGATATGTAGTTTAATCAGAATGTAGTTGGATATTGCGTTTTTAAATTAGATAAAACGTTAAACTTCGCCTCTGTGTACTCTCAATAATTATTTATGTTTAGAATTAAGACTTTGAATAGTATGCACTAATGTCATAAAGCTATTGCTATATATTGTTTCTTAGCAATGTAGTGTAACCAAATCGAATTGTAACACCATATGTAGGCAAAAACATGCCTCATAGGCTAACTGATTAAAATGAGTTTACCTAAATGTTACAAGAAGGGCGTCTTCCTAAACCAAAAATATCAAAACAAAAAGCACTTGTTATCATATTCTTTTAAAAAGGAAGACATTCATGTAACGTACAAAAGCAAAACGACATCAATAATGTAACTGTTAATATGAACACAAGAAGATGTTTTATTATTGCAAATGAAAGAACTATCCACGATTGGCCAACATGGTAGATGTGAGAAAGAGCTCATCCATCCCCAGACCTGCAGGAACAATGATGTACCGCAACGAAGTAAGAAAAAATTATTATCTTATGGTTGTGAACTGTAATATATTCCTTGCATGCAGAAACATTTCTCGCATCACACTGCACGGAGTGGGATAAAACAGTGGTATGAAATATGCGCGAATGTTATTGGCTTATCCAGTATCATGAGACGATATTGCATCATACATTATCATATTGGTCAATCGTTAGGTCATTGAGAACATTCAAAAGTTAAACAATGTACATTTTGCCCATTTTGTAATAATATACAATACACTCAGACTTATCAACTGAAAGTCTCCTTTTTGTCTAATTTAATTACATTCTGAAGCGTACAATAAGTTTCGAAATGTATTATGTAAACATTTGAAGCCAGAACATGGCACATGACGTCATACTGGTATGTGCAAAAGATTAGATCAACGATTTGTAGAATTGTCTATTTAACACAATGAAAGTGTTGACCATACGAGAATAATGTTCATCGATTCGTGACATTGGATGAAGCTTGATATCAACTATCGTTATGTTATTCAAATAGTACTAATACACTCGTCGAAGGATCGTTCAGTGGAAAATCAAATTACTGCGAACAATAAAACAATTCATTCTTCTCATGATATGGTCGACAAAATCAATAATTACAAAACAATGCTGGTGACGATACTTATCAACATGCATTTCTATACAACAATCGTACATTTTAAGAAAATACTTGTTAAACTGTGAGAAATATACGTGCAAATCACGATGTTTTACATTTAGTATTTATCGAGATAATTGCATTCGAAGTTTATCATGTTTATGAAACTGAAATATAAAAAATGTAAATCTTTACTGCATATTGATTAACAGAAAATGACAAAAATCATGTACTTACAAAATTTAAAGACCTTTGAGATCAGAAATTTTTGGAGTGTTACACAAATAGCATGTTACAATTTCCCAAATATACTTGCTTTTCAAATCTAAGTTTTCGAGAACACCAGTCTGCTCTTGTCACGTGAACATACGATATAAACATATTGTCTTTTCGTGAATATAACAATTTAAAAGTCTGTCTGTGCAGGTTCAAAAATTAAAAATTCATATTTTCTATGAAGCAGGTTATCCGTTTAAAGGTTTTTACTAGTTCTGTTATACAATTTTTAGAAGAGGTCGTGTCGGTTTTTATACATGTATTTGCGGTCTTCTCGATCTATTCACATTAGATGTTTTCATCGGGTTAAGGTCCGTTTGAATTTGCTTAGCTACTTAATCTCAATTGTGTTAATCTTTGATGCATATCAATGGATTCCCCTAGTATTTTTTTCCTCAACTTCTCTGATCTAGCTACATACATGTACAGATAATTGACTCGAGTTCATATCGAGAGATATTTAATTTTTGTTCGTCTAAGAGTGCTCTCAATTAGTGAATGCTTGTTCAAAATAAGTACAACTAAAAATTAATCATGTTTCCCTTATTAAAATCAACCAGTAAACATCAAATGCATTTAGATTAAAGACGACCTTTACAGGATGAGAAACAAAATACTAAATTGAATTGAATTATAACATGACTTTATTTCAAGCGACATTCCGTTCTAACTCGTTGTAAAACCTATGATTATAAATACAATTGAAATTAAATGAATAGGGGGAATCATTTTAAAATAAGAAAAAATCAGATCTAGTTTTAAAAAATGTTCTGCTTTTTAATGTTTTTTTCATGATTTGTTCATGATTTTTCATGATTGCTAAATATAGGTACTGTCACATCAACAACAACAAGTTCCGAAATAGAAGAAACACACAATGCATACAGCAGAGAACATGAACTAACCAGGGAATATACATTCACAACAACAGAAGGTAAGACTCATCAATATTTATCGTAATAATCTAACGATCACTGGAACAAATGTGTAGATGTAAAATTACATGTTAAGACAAAAACACTGGAAATAAATGTTCAAGTTGCGATCTTTAGCAGCTGAACCAATTAAATAGATTAATGTGCGTATCGATACTTATTTCATCATATCATTAGCTACTAATAATGCACATTGTACCAGTCAAAATTCAAATTTGTGTTATCTGAAGCAAACGTTATACGTCATGTTCATTTTTGATCAGCGCATATTTTTATTTTTTGTCTTCTATGGTCAAAATAGAGTATATTCTCCTGGTATATGCACATTTTTTTGAGAAATAAATGACATTTTGTTTCATTTAGTAAGGGTTGTATAGATTTACTAAGCAAAAAAATTCATAGACGTTTTTCGAGTAAAGTTATTTCAAATAAAAAAATGTAAAGCAATGATATTTGTACAAACCTCAGTTTTTAAAATTGTTTGCTCGACTACAATTTTTTTAAAGATAGTGTTTGAAAATGTCATTATATTGTTTTCAGATATTTATTGCTCTTAGATAATGTACGACTATGAAAGATAAAATTGGTATAACTGTTAACTGAAGGTGTGTTTTTGCCAACCACCACCCCTCCCCCAAATTGTTTAACTGTTAACTAAATGTGTGTTTCTGCCAACCACCACACCTCCCCCACGTAAACTTCAACAGGCAAAAAATTGTTATGTAAATTAAAATGGAAATACATAAATCGAAGAACTGATTTTTAGATAAACTATAATCTGGTATGGCATGCAAGACTAGCAGGATGAAAATATATATGAAGAAATATAAACCTTGTGATCAATTATTTTAAAAAATCAAACTTCCTAAAATAGTATTAACTGAGATCAGACAGACACACCACACGCTTTCACTATCCAGTAGTCACTGTATCATCATTGAAACATGAATAAATTCAAGAGATAAGAGACAATTTCGCAAAGAAACTCGTTTTTGCTAAAGCTAGGTTCACACTGCCGATCAGATCAACTCGATCAAGCTCGATCAAGACATATTAAGCGATCGGTAGACTGGTCTGACTCAATCGACAAGAATGTTCGGGGTGGTCTACCTTGCTCGTCATCGATCTGCCTTTCTACCCGAGAATTTTTGACATGTCAAAAACATTCGAGTAAGGATCGAGAAGCCAGTCACTCGAGAAGAGATCGGGAATTCGTCGAGTATCGGTCGAATTGATCGGGAAAGGATCGTGTAGAGATTGAGTTTGGTCGGAATACACATATTTCACCGATCAGTACTCGATCATCTCGACCTTCGCTCGACTAATATCCGATCATTTCCCGATCAACGCCAACCTGTTTTATCTGTGGTTCATACTAACTCGACCAATGCCCGAGCGCTTCCAGATCAATGCGACTTCTATTGTTTTTAATCCCAGACCAACTCGACAAATATTCGATCTCAACATGACCATATTCGACCTCTCTTCGATCTCTACTCGGTCAAAAACGAGTACACATGACTGCTACACGATTCTCTAAAATGGTGTGCAGATCTGATTAACTCTAATGCTTCAGCAAACATATATTCCCTGTTTATTTTGATTGTACAAAGGATTGATTCCGCAAAAATTCCTCCATGTACAGTACTTGTCTGTTCTTCTGCAAGGAGGGTTAACATTAAAAAAAAGAGGCAAAAGATATCAAATTTAGAAGTCGAAAACAAACCGACACAGCCAAGGCGAAAAACGAAAACCGACAAGAAGACAAACAGCAGTCAACATAACACAACATAGAAAACTAAAAACGTAGCAACACGAAACTCTTAAAAAAACTAGAATGATCTCAGGCACTCAGCAAGGTTTGACCACGGAGGATTTTTCAAATATGAAAGCTAATGACTAATTTAGCCTTCAAAGTGGGTTTATAAGAACGACAAGATTATTTTATACCCGTTTTATGAGGTATTTTTTGTTTGACGGTCCGTATTTTCCTTAGGTCCAAAACAAATGAAGATGTGGTATAATTGCCAATGAGACAACTCTCCAATTGAAACAGAAATTAACAACTATAGGTCACCGTACGGTCAAATAGAATTGAGAATGGTAATGAGGAATATTTCAAAGAGACAACAAACCGACAAAAGAGCAGAAAACAGCCGAAGGCCACACATGGGTCTTCAACACAGCGAGAACAATTCGTACCCGGAGCCGGGTTTCAGCTGGCCTCCAAGGGAATGAAATTCTACTTTTGACCATATTTTGGAGAAATATGTGACATCTTAACCCAATTTTGCAATATGTTTTAGGAAATACATGCAGGTTTTTGCCATGGATATACCAAAAAGAAAGTATCTTCAAATATTCAACTACTGAATATCAAATCTATGGAAAATACTGATTACATACATATATGAAAAAGAAGATATGTTATGATTGCCAATGAGACAACTCTCCAGGAGAGACCAAATGACACAGAAATTAACAACTATATAGGTCACCGTAACGGCTTCAACAATGAACAAAGCCCATAATGCATAGTCAGCTATAAAAGGCAATGCAAACAGTAAGCTTAATTTGTAATAAAGCAAGGAAAAGGGGTGGTAAAATTTATGTATATTGCTATCCATCATAAGTACCAATCCGGTGACAAATCTCGTTTGGTGGTGTTACTTTTAAGAAAAAAGTGGTAAAAACTACAACAACATATCAGCGTCCACTCTGAGGAAATTGGGATCATTGTTGAGCTTCTGCAAGTCTCTCATTCTGCCCATGCAATCGCCGTGTCTGCCACTACCTAACCTAGATATCTCGGCGCCCGCTGCTGTCTGCGCCTTCTTGTTCGTCTTCTATGTTAACTTCAAAGTCTGCCACAACCATGTACCTCGTCTCTGGAGCTCTAACCACCTTGCAAACACATCAAATGGCTTTGTTTCTACGTAGATATCTTGAATGTATTATTTTACTGAGACCTCCTGTAAACTACTGAATTTAACCAAATGAATGGAGAATGTGTCCATAGGACATAGATAATGCCCCAGCTTGCATATAACGTTATAAAGGGTCATTACTCAAGAACGGTAAAAGTGGCGCCACCCAAATTCGCACTTGATCTATGTTTATGGTAATAAGCTTTGTGTATACGTTTAATAACATTTGGTTGATGCACAATACATTTAGAGAACGGAAACTATGTGTTGGGACGTACGTAAGAACGGACAAGGGTAACACTTAATGCCCTCTCCGCTACAGCGGGGCATAACACATTCAGACGTTTTCTTTTTCTGAAATTGTACATACCCACCCGACCATCCCGACGACCCTTTTACGATCAGGTCGATCTGGTCTGGTCGAGATCGGACTGAGATCAAGTATAGTTGATTTTGGTCTAGCTAGTTGAGTAAAGATCATCCGTAGAGATCGTGAGATGGTCGGAATAATCTAATATGTATTCAATTGGTGGTCGGGTTGCAGTCGTGATGGAGTCATTTATTAGTCGTGAATGGTCGAGTTAAAGTCGTGTACAGTCGGATAGCGGTCGGGTAGAAGTCGTAAACAGGCCCGATCACGAATTTGATCACGCTAGATTGTGGAAATTTTGACAATCGGGATCATCATCATCGGCAGTGTGAACCTAGCTTAACTGGTACATGTCCTACCGATATTTCGTCACATACTGTAACTTGTAAATTGTTTACAGAAACTTTAATAATATATAGATACAAGAAGATGTGGTATGAGTGCCTATGGGACAACTCTCCATCCAAGTCACAATTTGTAAAAGTAAGCCATTATGGGTCAAAGTATGGCCTTCAACACGGAGCCTTGGCTCACACTTGTATTTGTTTTTTTTTTTGTTTCAACGAAACAAAATATATATAATGATATGCATATTTATATACATGTTTATTTTTGCCGTTTCCTGATGTATTTATTCAATTCTTATACAAAAAAGAACACTTCTATGAAGGTAGGTAGATGGCCTTCTGCTGTTGTCTGTTCTGTGGTCGGGTTGTTGTCTCTTTGACACATTCCCCATTTCCATTCTCAATTTTATGTTCGTACATTTGCTGTTAAAAGCTAGCTATCGTTCATATTACTTCTACAAAATCGATTAAGGTCATCCTTATCTGTTGAAAGATCTCTTACAGATAATAGCATAACAACTCCATCCTTAACTCTTAACAAACTCATAACAAATACACGAACAACTCAGATATATTTTGGCTTTAGTTGAACCCCAAGATGTACATATTCCTAATTGCTTTGATTTGATTATATACATGTATATATTTAGAATGCGTTACTGTAATAACATGTTTTTATCGTATATTTAGTGTATATATTACGTAATGTGAAAATGCATGCTATTTAAATAACTCAAACGATTTTCCAGTGGCTTTTTTGCTTTTTTAACTTTAGTAGTTTGTTTATTTCATTTACACCTAAAGCTACATTGCAGGCAATTTTTAATGTCATAATATTAATAAACCAACCACAGTTTTGTTGCGTTTACTAATGAGTCTTTAAGATTTAAATCCGCTTAGAATTACTACTATGATTAGTATGACAGATCCTCAAATTCAGATTGAGACAATAAACAAAAAAATGCTACAAACAAAATATATACATGTGTATGCAACAATATGATAACAAAATGTATAACACAATAATAATGAGTTTCATCTTGTATCAATACAAACAAAACAAAACAGCGACGTAGAGAAATGGTTCAAAACAACAAACAGTAGAAATGAAGAAAAATTAAATAGAAACAAAAGTCACACATTTCGCTATGTTGATATATACAAAGTGAAATTAGACGTCAACAAGAATTCTAATATCTTAGCATGTTTATAGAGATTCTTTTTACTGTTTTTTTTTTTAAATGAACCATATGGTTTGGTTTAATGTTAAGAGATGTAGTATTTATTAATTAATTTGTTTAAGGAGAGGAGAGGAGAAAAAAGTATACTTCTATTTGCCTTATGTAGTA